AGATGCATCAATATTCTGTGTAAAAAATATGACAATAAATTTCAAAAGGTAGAGATATTGGGTAGAATGTGCTCTGACCAAAATAAATAAGCAATCAATAACAATAAATATCTGACAAATCAAATGCTGAAAGATTAAACAACACACTCATAAAAACTACGGATCAAAGAAGAAATTAAAAAATTAGAAAATATTTTGAACTGAAAATAATAAAAACAAACATCAAAATTTATGGGATGTAGCTAAAGCAGAGGAAAATGTATGTAGCGTTAAATATCTATATTGAAAAAGTAGATTTAAAGATCAATGATCTAGTTTCTACCTTAAGAAGCTAATAAAAATAGAGAAAATTATGAAGAAAAAATAGCAAAAAAATGGAGCAGATATCAATGACATATAAAACTAGTAACAGAGAAAATTAACTATAGTAGGGAGAATGGCCCCCCAAAGATGTCCTTTCCTTAATCCCTGACACCTGTAAATGTGTCACCGTAAGTAGCAAAAGGAACTTTGCAGATGTGATTAAGGTTATGGACGTCGAAACAGGGAGATTATCCTGGGTTACCCAGGTGGGCTCAACTTTATCACACAAGTTCTTAAAAGTAGAGAACTTTCTCCAGATGGAGTCAGACAGATGTGTCAGAGGGGAAGTCAGAGAGACTGGAAGCCTGAGAAGGACTGGACAGGTCATTGCTGATGTGAAACAAAGAGGGCAAGGTGCAGAGAACGCAGGCCCCCTTAGGGGCTGAGAGCGGTTCCCAGCAACAGCCGGCAAGGCAACAGAGGACCTCAGCTGTATGACCACAAGAACCCAATTCTGCCAACAACCTGAAGGAGCTTGGGAGCGGATTCTTCCCCCCGGCCTCCAGAAAGGAGTATGGTCCTGCCAACTCCTAGATTTTGTCCGTGTGAGACCAAGTTGAGAACCAGCTGAGCCACGCTGTGCCCAGAACCCTGACACACGGAAACTGTGAGAAAATAAACTAGTGTTGTTTAAGCCACTCTGTTTGTGATCATTTGTACAGCAGCACAGAAGACTAATACAGTTAACAAATATAAAAGTTGATTTTTTTATTAGATTGATACAATTGACAAACACCCAGCAAGACCTATCAAGATACAAAACAGAAAACACAAATTGCCAATAACAAAAATAAAAGAAGGGACAGTACTACAAATCTTATAAACATTAAAAGGATCAATAAGGTAATTTTATGTAAAACATTATGCCAAAATTTTAAACGTTAGGTAGAAAGGATAAATTTCTTGCATATAAAAAAATTATAGATGAATATATATGAATAAAGTATATATGAAAAATGAATAAAATGTATAAAAATATATTCATTTAAAAATACATATGAATATAAAATAATATATAATAATATATTATATATAAAATAATATATTCTACATATAATATATTATGTATTAAATATACAATGTATATATATAAATTATATATATATTAATATACAATAAAATAAATATATATAAATATATTAATATACCTTTAAAATAATTAATATATAAATATTTTATATATAATATATTATATATATCCCTATATTCAGCAAAGAAATTGAATTTGTAGTGAGAAATATTCCAGTGAAGAAACTCTAAGCCCAGATAGTCTCACTGGTGAAGTATATTGAACATTTGAGAATGAAATATTAACAATCTTAAACTCCTTCCAAAAATAGAGAAGGAAGCAACATTCTCTAACTCATTTTGTGAGATAAGCATCCACCTAAAATGACAGACTGACAAAAGCAAATTCAAGAACAAAAAATTATTTACCTATAATTTTGTACATAGGTGGAAAAGAATTTTTAAAAAATATTAGTAAATGAAGCCCAGAAATATGAATAAATAATGTACACAATGACCATGTGGGATTTCTCCCAGGAAGACAAGGCAGTTTAACATTAAAAAATCAATAAGAAATTCACCACATTAACAGAGATTTAAGAAAAGAAAAGCCATGTTATCTTCATAGATGCAGGAAAAGCATTTTTTAAAAAAAACCTCAAAATTCATTCATAATAAAACTCACAAGCAATTAGGAATAGACAAGAACTCCCTCAAACTGATAATGAGCGTCCTTGAATAACCTGCCTCTAACATCATACTTATTTGTTTAATAATTGAACGCTCTTTCCCTAAGATTGGGAACAAGGCAAGGATATCTACTCTCACCACTTCGATTCGACATTGCACTGTCTTTTTAGGCTCCAGCCTGTTTTTATTCGGAAACGACATGACTATGTAAAATACATCCCAAATAATCAAAGAAAAAGATATCAACACTAAGTGAATTTAGTAAGGTTATAGCATAAAAGTCAATATACAAAAACTAATAACATTTCTATACGCTAACATCAAATAGTTAGAAGTGAAATTATGCAAACAATACCATTTACAATAGCATTAAAAAACACAAATGCTAGAAATAAATTTAACAAAGGACAAGTAAGATCTCTGCATCAAAAACTATAAAACATTGCTTAGACAAATTTAAAACTATTTAAATGAATAGAAAGATCTACTATGTTCACAAATCAGAAGAGTCAATATTACTAAGATGTCATTTCTTTCCAAATGGATCTACAGATGTAATGCAACCCAAACAAAATTCTGATGAGTTTTTGGCTGAAATCTATAAGTTGACTATATGGAAGTCAAAGGATTTAAAATAGAAAAAAGCAAACAAAAAAATCCTAAAAATAATGAAGTTGGAGATTTTTTCACTAGCTGACTTAAATACTTGGTACAAAACTACAGTGATAAAGACAGTACAATAGACAGACAAATAGATCAAATAGATCAATGGAATAGAAAAGAGGCCAGAGGTTGACTCACACATGTATGGTCAATTGTTATTCAACAAAGACACCAAGGTAATTCAACGAAATAAAGGAAGGGTTTTTTTAAACAAGTGGTGTGAAGAACTAGATATCTACATGGGCGGGGGACTTCCCCCAATGTTATGCCCTACCCCAAAATGACATCCAGATGACTACTGATATGACGAGCGATTTAAAAGCTAAAACTGTAAGGATTCCAGAAGCAAACCCAATATTTTCATAACCCTGAGGTAGGCAAAGATTTCTTAGTAAGGAGATCAAAAACACTAAAGATAAATGAAAAATATATATAATATGGATTTCACCAAATTAAAAACTTTTGCTTATTAAAAGACACTGTTACAAAGATAAAGAACAAAGCACAGACTGGGACAAAATATTCTCAGCACACGTGTCCTACAAAGTCCTTGCATCTAGAATGCAATAAGGTGCATTTACAAGTGAATAATAAAATAAAACACAATATAAAAACAGGTAAAAAATTGAACAGACACTTCACAAAAATAAGAAACATAAATGTTTGATGGCACATGAAAAGATGTTGAATATCTTAAATCATTAGAAAAATAGAAATTAAATACAGTGATAAACCACTTTCCACACCACGAACACCAAATATTGGCAAAGACATGAAGCAAGTGGAGCTCTACAGCATCCCAGTGGGAGTGTAATATGATTCAACCATTCCGGAACAATACCAATTTCTTATAACGTTAAACATATACCTAACATATAACCCAAATATTCCAATTCTAAGCATTTATACCAAAAGACTTGTAAAAGAATCTTCACAGTAGCTTTATTCATAATACTCAAAAACTGGAAACAATCTAAAAATCCTCAACAGGAGAATGGAGAAACAAATTATGGTGCATTTATTCAATAGGAAGTTACTCAGTAACAGGAAAGAATTAACTAGCGATACATGCAATAACACGCTTGAATCGCACAGATATTATACCAAACAGTCAGACAAAATAAAGATTGCATATTTTATGGTTCCATTTATATGCGGTTCAAGAGCAAAAATAATTTACACCTGTAGAAATCATAAGTGTGGATGCCTATAGGAGCAAGGAATGACTAGAAGTCAGGGGAAAATTTTTCTGGAGTGATGGAAATGCTCTATATCCTGGTTGAGATGGTAGTTACATGGGTGTAGACATCTGTCAAAACTCCTTGAATACATACTTAAGATCTGTACATCATAAAAAATTTACCTCACTAAAAATAAATGTATTCCTTTTGAAAATCCTAAAGGGGAGAGGGAGGAGTTATCCGATGAAATGTGGTAGAATTGAGAGATAATGTTTAAAGTCTATTTGAAAATAAAGATCATAAACTTACACTGCAGCCCAAAGGGAAGAGTGAATCATTTCTTGATTCACCATATTTCTTATAGGTATAAGTTTCACTGTGCTTAATTAGTATATTAAATCTCAGCTGACTCTGCAAATAAAATATAGTAACCTATTCAAATGTTTAAATTCTTTCGATGGACATCCCATGACTTATAAATTCATATATAAATGAATAGTGTAGAGTATTCCCTTGAATTAACTTACTAGTCTATAAGAGTTTGGGATAAGAGATTGCCATAACCCTCAAAACCTAAATGCCAAGGTCTATCGATGTTTTGTGAGTGTTTCTCCTATAACAAACATATTTCTAAAGTTTAAATCTACTACTGGTATTAGTGTTGTACGTCCATATAAATCTGGGCAAATGACCGTGTCATGTACTAATCTATAACATATAATCCATGTTTTAAGATGATATTGTGCAGCCCTGTTTGCAAAGCATTTCTCTGAGATGTTTTACAACATTGTGCTAGTGAAGCATGGATCACGAAGAATGAGCTGAACAGAATTATTTATTTCAGTGCAGAAGAACTCGAGAGTTTCCATTTCTTCATATGGTAGGTTAGAAAAGCTAGAGGAATGTATGAAATAAGACCTGCCTCTTGATCTGTAAGAGAAACCTGTTAGGTGTTGATTTCTTTGACACATATAATAGAGTGAAAAGCAGCTGCACCTGAACTAGTTCACCATGCAAAAAGGACTATTTCAACATAGAAACGGGTAGCATCCGGCGTAGGGAGCCAAAAATCAAGTCCCAATGTTCAGAGCCAATGCGGCTGAGGCATCCGCAGTTGCCGTGATTCATTCTGATCAAAGTCTTTGTTTCTTTCTCCTAATTTCTTTTTCTCTTAGCCTGAAACAGTAGTAGAGAACATATCTTCTCCACAAGTGTGTGCTAAATGAACAAGCACCTGAGGTAAAGGGGACGGTGGAGAGCGAAGAGGGACAGCGGTGCCGCGGAGTGACTGGAGGAACGAGGGTACCACAAACAGAAACCGCTGGAGAGGGTAACAGATCCTAGAAGAGTATCTTCTCAGAATCAAGCGGTAAGTACTGAAATTAGAGCCCTAACCCATGCCCTCAGGGATAATACTCAGTAGGATGTCCTTTCCTAGCGTAGTCAGGCTGAGGATATTAGGGAGAATTTTCATCTGTGTCATCAAATGTTCTAGAATCAGAGCCAGAAAATCAACTTAGCTGGCAGATCTTCCTCCCAGCTCCGTTTAGACAATGCTCCTGATGCAGAGGGCACTGATGCTGGGAAAATGAAATGGACACGCATGATCAACCAATGAGGGGAGGAAATAGGCGGGCAGGCTTGAGCTCTAGATTAAGGATATGTCTTATATGTGCCCTGTGTTGTTGAAGCATCATCCAGACTGAGCATTCAGCTGTGAGGATGCTACTCGGACTGGAGGAGAGATGTGAGGGCAACATTGTCCCATAAATAAAAATAACATTTCCTGAAAATTCTGCTTTACGAAGTTTCTACTTATTAAAAAATCTAAACTAAATGTTTTCAAATGAACCAACTGCATCCTCCTCACTAACTTCCATCTCATCATATTACTGTTCTATTTGCTAAAGAAAGAAATCTTCCGTTGTAAATTATCCAAGAACTCTGGAGTTCGCATGGTGTTTCATGATTACTTTTAGTCCACGAGAAAATAGGAGACTGCGAATAATAGAAAATAATAGAATGCAAAAGATTTGTAGGCTTCACCCCCCGGAATAAAACAAATATAACCTCTTTCTCTAAGTGTGAATGTAATGCCCCATCAATCAAGAAAATATTGAGGAAAAACAAGGAAAGCCGTTTTACTAGTGAACAGCAGTGTTCAAAACGGGGGCTTCGCTTGCAGGCCTCTGGGGACCTGTCAGTATTACCCACTCATAAATGCATTCATCAGAAACCGTGGCGGTGCTCACTTCACATTCCTTCACGACTCTGTTCGATATATAGTTAATCTCATTTTTATTGCATAGTATTATATGGTGGTAGAATTTTGGGAGAGCTATATAAAAAAAAATTCTTTCCAGAATCCTCCGGAGACAAAGCTTTTCTTTTCCTGCTCAGAAATTTGTATTTGGGCAAATTTCAGTTTGATATTTGCAGCCTGTCAAAGACAATGATTTCATCCTTTGAACTTTAGGCTCACTTTCTCCTTTAAGTCACAAGGGTATTAATTTTCTTTTGGAAAAGAGCAAGCAAATTGAGGAGAGTTCTCATGGTCTCTCCAATGTGATAACTACTCTCCAGCAGAGGTGCCAGCTTCTGTCTTCCTCAAGCAAATAACTCACATGCTCTGGGTTTGATTTTTCTCATTTGAAAAGCAATATCATTGGAATCAAATGGCATTTCTCAAGGTAGGTCTGTGGATGCTCGTCCTGTGTGGTGTGGAAAATCCAACCGCATTGTCAGAGTTTTTAAAAAGATGTAGCTATTTATAAGACTTATATTACAGAGGTCAAAGGAGAGTGCTTTTCACAGTCCACACTCGAGTTCCTTACCACATCAGGACCAGGACTTCTTGTGTACCTGAGTCCAGCCTTAAACCTCCACCCGTGGCTGGCAGAGACGAGAGCACTCAACTCTCCGCAGCAGAGGGGAAGGTGGACTTTGTAGTCATAAGTCAGCAAATTATAAAAGGCTATTTACAAAAGGTTCTGCTAAGACACACATGAAAGAGGCCACAGTATTTATATAGTAAAATATTAATCAGTAAAGTTTTGTTATCAGTAAAGAGGTCACGGGGTGTTTCTAGGGGATAACAATCTCTTTGTTAGCTGAGATTTTAATGTTTTGAATATGTGACATGATGTTCTGTTGATTTTGGAAGCTGCTTATCTCTTTAGTGATTCTTTAAGTGTAAAGGGTCCAGGTTCAAAGAATTACGGTAAACAATGCCTCCTACCCTGGGAGAGTGTACATTAGCAAACTGAAGGTTCTCTATAAACTGTGTTTAACTCTGTGCTTCCCAAACGCGTTTAACCATGCACCCCCATACATGTATTTGCATCCCATGGAAATAACCTCCTTAGAACAGTCTTTGGGAAACACTGACCTCAAATGATTTCCAAACTCTGATATATATACTGAAAAGAGGCTAAACCTGAGTAGATTTTGATTTGGAGCCTTCCCAACTAGTGCAAAAATAACTGAATAAAATTTCAATGGTTCCTTATTGTTTTCACATTTCTTCCCTTAAACATGTTTTAATTGATCTTCACAGCTCCGTGAAATAGGTTTTATTTTAAAATTGAGTTTTACCATTTCAGCTCGACATCAGGAAACCACAACACTCAGGGACTTCTGCAAATGATTTTGGTGGAAAATCATCTGACACAGTCATAAGGGCTCGGTTTGCAAGATCTTCTCTGGTTAGAGTCATGCCACCCTTCCATGTCCTCAAGATGTAAATTGAAAAATTTTTACTAGAATTGCAAACAACTAAAAACGAAGATTACACTGATCTTTCTTGTTAGGAAGCTGTTAACTTGAGGAAATGCTGATGAATATCCCCAGCAGAAGAGCCATCATGTCGGCACCACCATCACCAGCAGTCCTTTCTACAGAATGCAAACTTCACTACTGGACAAGCAAGGTATTTTCCAAGATTCTGCAGGGGTTTTTGGCTCTAATGGTGTGGAGGGCTTTGCAGTGGACTCTCACTTCTCAGGCAGAGGGGCCTTAAGATTGTAGTTAGAAAGGAGTTGGTAAATGAACCGAGAGAAGGCCAAAAATTCACACTACTTCTCCAGTGAAACCTGGTGCAATTGCATGGTGGTATTTTGAAAAATAAAGGATATTCATCCATTCATTCATAAAATATTTATTGACTGCTTACCAGGAATCAGAAGAATAAAGGAAATTGTGGTTTGTCCATCTTCATCTCTCAATTGCTGCCAGTGGAGGGGGTCATCCTCCTGTGTTCCATGGGGCAGTGGGGTGGCCAGTACTAACGTGAGCGGTGGCTTCTGGTGGCACCAAAACAGCAGAGGAACACGTGGACTGGAATGGATGTGAGACAACCTCCCTTTTTACTGAGTAAGCCAATGGGTTAATTACTCTCCCCAAAAGAGGGGCTTACTAACCCATCTGGATTATAAAGGATGAGTCTGGGGTGATGAATATTTTTATGAGAGATCCCAGGAAGACTTATACACTGTGCATTATTTAGCAAAGGATGGCCACATTTTAAAAATCTTATTGGATACATATTACATCTAGAAAATAAACTATTTCATAGGCAAATTATGTGACCTAGCGCTGAATATTGGGTGTCAGAAAAGTGGAACTATCCATACTATTTATCTCCAGCTCATTTGTCACCAAAGCCAATTCTGAAGAAAAAGATTTATCTTCTTTCTTTTGATGTTGCACAGAAAGAACCTTTGCCAAATTATGGGTGGCTTGGTGTGTAGGCAGTGCAGTCATGAGTGTTTGAGTTAAAATATGATTTGTTTTGCAAAGACTTTTGAACATTTAAAAGGAATGTTCATGAATTTCCAAATGCTGTGTTTGCTGTAGCAAGACACTCAGAGTAATCATTACCTCCAGATGTGATTTCCATCTCCCCGACTGCCGCTCCACGTGCGCTCTTCTTTAATATTTGACAGACGTTCTGCATTTTCAGCCTCCCTGACAATAATTATGGAGTTGGTGAGCAGCAACCATTAAGCTTAGGTGCATTTAGTTCCTACTTAGTTTCAATTATTTGATCATCAACACTTTAAGAGGTAACACAAAGTCAAGCATTATGACAATATAAAACCAAGAATTTAAATGCAAAAGGGAAAATAAATTATTTTGAGTGAAGTAGAAGATGAAACACATCTTTTTATGGAGGCTCTTTTTTAATATAACGTCACCTTAGAACAAATTGTTTGAAAATAATTTATGAAATTACCATTAGAACACATATATAAGCTATAGCAAAACTTTTGTGAGATTTTTAAATCTTCTGAATCTTTTTCTTTCTTAAATACTAAAACATTTTAATAGAGAATGCATATGATGTACACACACAAAGATTTTTCTTCCAAAAGCATTAGCTCTACCATTCAAGTGTTAAATGAGATGTCAGACCTAAATTATTTCTCATAACTTCCTAAGTTAATAATTTCGAATTTGATGGATTAAAAAATACTACCTGTTGTTTTTCATATTAAGAGTTTCCATTAAAATAGTTCTACCAAAAAAAAAAAAAGCACTGAAAATTAAGGAAATAATCCTTAGTAGGATCAGCTATGTCTAGCTCCCAAAAATGTCAGCTCTAGAAAAGTCTGACTCCATTATATAGCTCCAGGTTACGTATAATTCAGATGTTAATCAGATAGAGTCAGAAAACATACATACATATTTTATTCTTTAGATAATAGGACTACAAAGACATAGCTTCAGAAAAAAGAGGATGGAAAATAGAAAATAATATCTTGCTAGTTTAAAATTGTTGAGAAATTTCATGAGAACAAATGTGATCTTGAATTGTATATTCCTATTAATATAAAATATGTATTTTTTGAAGTTTAGCATTAGAAGACAAGTCAGAACACAAAACGAAGAGAAGCCGCATTCTTTGCCACATTAGCATTGTACAAGGAACACCTGAACTTGGCAATGATTCTGTAATTAAACAAAATAAGAAAATGTATTTTCTGGTCAAGACATTGCAACATATATGAGACATCTGGAGCTTCTGTACCAGAATTCCCATTATTTACCAGTCACCTTTCCAGTCATCACACAGTGGAATTTTCATCTTCTGAGCCCCTTCTCAGTGGCTACAGGGAAATGACCGAATAAAAATAATGAGAGAAGCTAAAGTGAGATCAGATCTGAGCAATCATTATTGACCCATTTTCTAATGGGAGCGAACATATTATGCATGATAACTCTATCTCTAATCCATAGTGATGATCTGTTTATATCAAGCGTCTTTACCATCTTTTATTATATTTATATGTATTTATAACTTTTACAGAATTTAATTATGGTTGACTGTACTCCCTTCTGGTTATGAAGAGTTCCATTCTTTTTATTAGTCCCATTGTCTTTCAATTGTGATCTCATATTTATGAGTAATTCCTTCATGGACAATAGTCATAATTCAAATAATTGTAAGTTACACTCTTATCTCCTACAGTTATAACGCTATGAGTTGGGGGATTCACTCTTGGAAACATACTTTACACCAAAATATACCAAAACTTATTACCAACACAAATAGAGAGAAAATAGTTTAGAAATATAGGGTTTATAAATACTTTTTAAGTATGTAAAATCAACCATAGTACAATGAAATCCAGGCTCAGGATCTTTTTTTTTCCTCTTTTAAATCTCCCTACAGTAAATATTACGTTTTCCCCTACCCCAACATATATTCAAATTTATAACCATCCATCTTAATATTTCTATTCCTGATCTACAAAAAAACTGCAGAAAACCTCTGAATGTAAAACTGCAGAATTAGATTCTCCAGTGTCCTTCGTGTTGGGAAGAGTAATTGTGTCCTCAGGAGTCACCGAGAGGTTGAACATAGACATTACGTAGGAGAGGGAGACAGTTACACGAATCGCCCTCAAAATAAAGATCCAGAAGTCAAACTGCCATAAGTCTCTAAATATGGTTTAAAAATATGCTTAATGGTCCATTGGGTCCTGTTCCAGAACTCCTCAAATGGTACCAATGGCCAGGACTTCAAAACTGGTTAAAATGTTAATTTTCTCCAAGATAGATGTATCGAGTCCAAGGGGAGCTCCGCTCAATAGGTATGAGTTAGGAGTCTCTGTGTTTCTCACTGTGTTCCATAGGATTACCTCACCCAGCTATTCTAAGAGCATGGCCTTGAAAGGAACCATCACCAACTGGCCTGAAGGACAGCCTGATCTCTTCAGGCACACTAGCACCTAGGAAAAAGGAACCAAGAGGCAAGATTAGAACCATATACCCTGCTCTAGCCTGTTGGCATTCTCCTGAGACTTTGATATGCACAGATCAGGGCTGTATCCCTCATCCCTCATCTTGTAAATGAGCACACTGAGATTCACTGTGTGGAAGGGACCTTCTATTTGGGGCCAAGCATTTAATCCTAGTCTAAGATTGAAATCACACCCAACCCCTCTTTGGAAAATATGTGTTAGAGTTAGGGAGAGATGTGTACTCAATAATAAACTCAGTTCCCCTCAAATTTCTCTCTAGTCTAGCAGAAAAGTAGAAGTGAGGGTTGCAATGATTTTGTCACTTACACATTTTAGTTTTTCCTAACATTTTAATGAAGTTTTGGGGCCGGCACCGTGGCCGAGTGGTTAAGTTCACACGCTCCACTGCAGGCGGCCCAGTGTTTCACGGGTTGGAATCCTGGGCGCGGACATGGCACTGCTCATCGAGCCATGCTGAGGCGGCGTCCCACATGCTACAACTAGGAGGACCCACAACTAAGAATATACAACTATGTGCCGGGGGGCTTTGGAGAGAAAAAGGAAAAAAAATAAAATCTTAAAAAGAAAGAAAGAAATATGTTTTAAACTTTTCCTTTTTATGACAGAAAACAAGCAGCTATGTTGTTTAAATATAAACTTACACAAAACGTCTTTATTTAAAGCTGATTATTTAATAATCCAAACGGAGGGAGAGGGCACTAAAAACATATACCTGTGGGATATATATTTTGTTTCTTTCAATTTCAGAATGGAAGCTCTTACTTTCCATGAAGTACCAGAGACCATGTAGCGGTATCTTATACTTTAAATCTCTTAACCAGGCTTTTAGAGAAATAGTGGATCTGAATGCTGTGTCTTATCAGTAAAATACATTTCATGGTAAATTCAAAAAGAAAGCACTGAGTGGAACAGATGTATGCTTTTTAAAGACCATTTATTACACCAATCCTATTAAAAATAATAATGCAGCTTCTCTCTCTTTACAATATTTTGATCCTTCCTTTTGCTGCACATAATACCATAAGTTAATACTTTACATGAAAATCCATTTCCAGCACAATCTTATTGGGCTGCTGTACTACAGTAAATTCTCATCTCTGGAAGAGGGGAAATTGCCACGGGGGATAACAGTGGCTACCTTTTAAATATAGGTTGCTGTTTTCTTTTGCATTTAGTAGAGGAAAAGAAGGAATAAAGGGGGCACCTTTCAAAAGATTTATTGGGATACTAAAGGAAAGACCAAAAATAAGGATAATCCCCTCAAATAGGAAATCAAACCACGCAAGCCAATTGAAGAAATGGATTCTAAACATGAATATGGCACATAATGAAAGATGACATTATAGTCTTAAAGAACCTTTCAATCTAAGGCAGACGGTTTATAAAAATAAGGGGATATACATTCATGCAACACAATATTTGTCAAAATTTTTACACATAATTTTAGAGCTTCCTCCTACACACACGTTCCTAGGGCGCAGATCGGTGAGGATCACGTTAATGGAAGAAAGGCCGTTACAAACAATGGGAAGAGTGGTTTTCTCCCTCCTTTGTGTCTTCTTCATCCCAACTCTTCTAAAAGGGGAAAACAGAGAGACAAAACCATTTCTAGAAAACAGGGCCCAGGGGGAAATCTCACACAGCATGCCTCCCTCTTTGTCTC